TTAGGCAGGGACATGTCTCTTTCTTTTTTTTGTTAAATATTTGTTAAAAATTTGATAAATTTAAGTACTGTCGATTGAGACATAAGTTGCAATTGTTGTATAAAAAATTGATTTTAATTTTATTAATTGTCTATTTAAAGTACATTACTAACATTATATTGAAAATAAAATTTATTTTTGTAATTTTTTATATAAATTAGTAATAAAACTATACAATAAATATACCATAAGGGAAAAACCCTTATGTAAATTACCAATTTGGTGCCAACTCAAAGTTGATGTGGGATAAAAAAGGCCACCTCATTGTCGTGTAAGCAATGGACCCCATCAGAAGCACCTTTCCGTTATAAATTAACGATTGTCTAAGGTAAGCCATACGAAAAAGACTTATTTGCAACCATACAACAAGTGGAAAGGTTAATTTGCGTTTGTTTTTAGTTGAGGGGCTAATTTGCCACATTTTACCCAATACAGGGGCTAATTTGCCTTTTTTGCCAATTCCAAACCAGAAATTGTCACTAAATACCTTATTTCTAACTGTTTCAAAATAAACAAATTCATCAAACATCTATCCTTAATAATTTAGACAAGACTGCTAATCATTACTTTCAAATTACTATGCCAAATAAGGCTGGAATACGAGTTGCAATGGTGGTTGTTGGTGGCTGTCCAAGGTGGGCAAACGGGAAACGTGTGTTGAACATGTTGGACTGCGTTATTTTCGCCTAAAATCAAGGGATGTGGCAGATTTGATGTTGTACTCTTACCTATTTTGGGGATGTGCTGGTATTTTGAAGTACAAAGCAAAATAATAGAAAGATGGTCAAATAGATTTGTTTTCTTGTCGGACAAATCTTTGAATTTAACTTGATTCTAGGTTATTTATTTAGACTTACAGTAATTTAGGTTTGAGTTAACACGAATTACTTATTAAGCTGGTAACAGCACCATGAATAATAGCCTTGGTATGGAAAATTTTATTGGGATTGGAGGCAGTCATTTATGATTTACATGTCTCTTTACAGTATTTTTATTTGATATTGGATTTTTTTAATTTGTATTATTAGATTACAAGTTAAAATTATCTTTTTTATAATAAATTTGTATAAAAAAATGAAAAAATAAATATTAATTTTAATGTCAAT